CCTGCCCGGCGGCTTGTTCCTGCAGCAACCAGGCGAGTCGGGTGATTTGCACCCGGCGGGAGCTGCTGGAGGTACCGGCCAGCATCTCGGTCAACACCCGTTACCTGAACCTCCAGGAGAACCACATCCAGGTGATCCGCACCGACACCTTCAAACACCTCCGGCACTTGGAGATCCTCCAGCTGAGCCGGAACCTGGTGCGGAAGGTGGAGGTGGGCGCCTTCAACGGCCTCCCCAACCTCAACACCTTGGAGCTCTTCGACAACCGCTTGACCACCGTCCCCACCCAAGCCTTCGAGTACCTCTCCAAGCTGCGCGAGCTCTGGTTGCGCAACAACCCCATCGAGAGCATCCCCTCCTACGCCTTCAACCGCGTCCCCTCCCTGCGGCGCCTGGACCTGGGCGAGCTCAAGCGCCTGGAGTACATCTCGGAGGCCGCCTTCGAGGGTTTGGTCAACCTCCGGTACTTGAACTTGGGTATGTGCAACCTGAAGGAGATCCCCAACTTGACGGCGTTGGTGCGGTTGGAGGAACTGGAGCTTTCGGGCAATCGGTTGGGTCGCGTCCGTCCCGGTTCCTTCCAGGGCTTGGGCAGCTTGAGGAAGCTGTGGTTGATGCACGCCCGGGTGGCGGCGGTGGAACGTAACGCCTTCGATGACCTCAAAGCTTTGGAAGAGCTTAATTTGGCCCATAACGAGCTGGCCTCGCTGCCCCACGACCTCTTCGCCCCCTTGCACCGCCTGGAGCGGGTCCACCTCCACCACAACCCTTGGCGTTGCGATTGCGACGTCCTTTGGTTGAGTTGGTGGTTGAGGGAGACGGTGCCCAGCAACACCAGCTGCTGCGCCCGCTGCCACGCGCCGCCGGCGTTACGCGGCCGCTACCTGGGCGAGCTGGAACCGGGACACTTCACCTGCTACGCCCCCGTCATCGTCGAACCCCCCGCCGACCTCAACGTCACCGAAGGGATGGCGGCCGAACTCAAGTGCCGAACCGGCACCGCCATGACCTCGGACCTCGGTCAACTGGTTGACGCCCAACGGGACGTTGATGACCCACGGTTCGTACCGGGTGAGGATCTCCGTCCTCCACGACGGCACGCTCAACTTCACCAACGTCACCGTGCAGGACACGGGGCAGTACACCTGCATGGTCACCAAC